CCCCCCCCCCCCCCAAAGGCATTTGGCACCTCCGCAAATTACATCTATTTTGATTTGATAGTTTCATATTTGATTATTCTTACTACTAAATTTGTAAAAAAAATTTGAAAATCCGTCTCTGTAAGCTGCTGCCTGCCGTATATATTGTCTGAATACTAAACATATCTCACATACTAAATAAACATTAGCAGAATCATACAGATACTAGTTGAATCTTACTAGAATACATACCATTGCAAATGCTGTAATTTGATTGGCTACCCCACTCACTATCTATTCCTTGATAGATAGCGAGTAGCAAAACAATCATTTTCCAGGCACATTTAAATTTTTTAAAAATGACTTCTGGTTTGTGTTTTTCTGAGGAATATTTTATGTTTGATCTCTGATTCTACTAAAACAATTAGATTACTATGAGGTGATAGTTGAGGTTGTTGGGCTTACGGATCGAAAGCTTTGCAGTAATAAATTTATGTGATGTTTCCACAAACAAAACTATTATAGGTGATAGTTGATTCGAGCTTCACCCTCATCAACTATCACCTCATAGAAATCTCGAGCTCGTAATCTAATTGTTAAATAGACTAAGTGACATATTGTCCAAGTACCATGATCAGTATCTGGTGTCCAGATACAGAAGTTCTCCTTGTGGGCAGTTGCGTCCCTATCAATAATGATATCAAGAGGGAGAGTGCCTCGCATGGGTCTCGAGTCCCGTTCGCACTCTTGCCGTTTGAACATCGTTCAATAAAGCTGTTAAAACATAAAACAATGACCGACTATTATCGGGTATCATATATCTGGTATCATATATCTGGTATCTGGCACAGCAGTATCAGGCACATCCCTAGTGTTGTACAGCATTACCAGAATTCTGGCTAAGTTCAAGCAGAACCGGACAAGCAGGCACAGTTTGACAGTTTTCATGTGAACTTGATCAAAATATAAACAGAATATACCAGACAGAACTATGTACAATAAAACGTCCCCCACAGATAAAATATAATATATTTTCAAGTACCTCATTATTTGAGCAAGCCCTCTGCCAAGTTGACCAAGTCCACCTATATACCAACGGAATTTAGATGAAACTTTGAGAACACATTATAATATACTGTTACTGTACATATTATAATCTGAGAATATATATAATTACTGTATTATTAAGAGTCAGAGAACAATTACATGTAATTTATTCAAGAACGCTTAGATAACATTTTTTTAACAATTATAAAACTTGTGTGATCACGGCATTTTGAGTTGAACACACTATGTTTACAAAGTATAAATTGGGTAAAAATCACTATGTTTAATGTATATTTTTGGTCATTCATTTATATATTGTCAAAACAACATCAAAATTCGTGACATATACAACCCTTGAACAAACTTTGAATATAAACAAACCTGTGATCAAAACTCGCGGTGTTCCATTGTTGAATAAACGTATCGCTGTGTATTGTTGACGAACTGGCTTGAGAAATTTTACTTGTCTTGCTAGTGCTCCAAATTTTAACATTTTCTTTTAATAAAAATTCTCGTTTTCTTTGCGAGTTTATTGCTAGTTTCAATATTACAAGAACCAAATGACTCGAGTCATCTATAAGCGTGTTGTGTGGGTGTAAAAGGGTATGTTTGAGGGTGTGTCGAACAGCTGACCAATCATATGACAGAGAATGTTGTAATAACACTGATGTTTACAACAAAAAGCCGGCTAGCCGGGGCAATTTTCAGTTTCGTAAACCGCAAGGGTCAGTGTGCGTCCATCCGGTGATCCGTCAACAAATATTTACAATGTACCGTAAAATGATCTACAGCTATTTAGGCGGATTCGTGTATACGACCTATATTTACTACAGATTTCGCTTCCTTGAAATCAATGCCTGATTAGCATAACGAGCTTTGCACAGTGAATCGAAACATGCAAACCGGCTTTTATTGTTCCTAAAGACCGTTTTCCACTAGGCGTGGTGGAAGGAGTTAGTTCCACTCGAGAAATCACAAGACAAAGAAAAATTCCGCTCCGCGCGAAAAAATTCTTAAGGGTCCATTTCCACTCGAGAAAATTTTCCTTGAAAGAAAATTTTGTAAAATGTGATTGGCCGACACAAATTTTGGTATTTTCGGAAAATTTTCTGTCCGTAGAAATTTTTCTTGAGTGGAAATGGGCAGTTAACAAGTTTACATATAGACTAGCCATTTGTCGAATGTATTAAGAAAGCATGAACTCAGATAACCTGAAATTCAGGCCCTAATATAACCTGAAATTCAGGCCCAGAACTTCAGGTTAGAACTCTAGAAAACGCGTTGAAATTGCGAACCATTTGCGTTCGGCACGTTTCTTGTAATTCTGAACGCAATTTTGTTCCAGTAAAAACCCCCACCAAAAATCCCACATTGCATAGTATTACTGCAGTAACCCATTGAGCGCGCTCTTCCTATGCAATTTACTGTGATACATGCTTCCGCCAGGAAAGTGGTTCCTATACGGTCGTAAAAATAGAGTCACGATCTTTCTCAACGGCCAGTTTATAATAGTTTATACCTGTAAACCACATATAAATCATAAGTATTCTCTAGTTATAAACACTCTGTGTATTTCCAGTTGTAAAATGTTGTATTTCGGCTGATGAGAAAAATCGTGACTCAATCTTTACGACCGTTACGACCATAACGAAAGCGAGGTTGTATAGCCAAACGGTGACCTTCATATAAAGAACCAACGTAATTTCCCAGTTTGCATGATAACTGCTGTTTGTCTGCCATTTGCTGCGAAAATACAGTCCACATTATGATATAAATCAGACAACACACTTTTTGTCAAATTTACTACTTAGCTAAAACAACAATATATAATTACAGCAGAGATTTTTTTTCTAACTGATATAATAATAGTTTCCATCCATTATAATGCATCTCATTTTAAAGTGTTTTTAACGTACTATGTGTGCCAGTACTGGTAAGGTTATCAACTCCCGAGAAGATGTAGTTAGTTATTAGAAGATTTGTTCATGATCTTAATATTCTTCTTGCTCTTCTGGTTCTGGTTCGGGCTCGTCGCCAGCTTCTGGTTGTACAAACCCATCCTAGCAGAGAAAATTTTATCAAGGTTTATTAAATTGTATATTATAACATAGAAATTTCTGGATATGGGTAGCCCCCTTCACAAGAAACTCCATGCCTGTACATTCATTTTTTTGCAGGTAACCAAAAATAATTTGCAGTTAGCCCTCTAGCGGCCGGAGCGCAGGTTTTAGTTTAGGGGGGATCAAAAATCAATTTTGGTAATGACTAATGAGTTACAAAATTCAATGTAGGACACTAGGAATGCAAATCAAAATGGTTGACAACACGAGTGTTCGAAGCAAGAGCGGAGGGCTAAAACAGGGTGTCCACGGGCCTTGAAAATCCTGGAAAGTCCTTGAATTGGAAAAAAAATCCAGGACTGGAAAGTCCTTGAAAATCAGTAGAAGTCCTTGGCAGTCCTGGAATTAATTTCCTTAACCTCCAGCTGTGCCAACATTAGTGATTTTGATTAAAATTACTGAATAAAGTGAATTATTCACGGCAAATCCGTGCCATTTTCAAAGATTTCTGGGTCCTTGAATTTGCTGAAAAAGGGCCTTGAAAGTCCTGGAAAAGTCCTTGAATTTCACCTTCACCAAAGGGTGGACACCCTGCGAAAATCAAAAACTCTTCGTAAGTTTCTGATGGCATGCATTAATTGACGAATTTGCGTCTTCAAATACAACACTCTGGTCGACTAAATCTGGTTGGTAAATATTCTACTATACTACTGTAGTGTGCACAAGACCTTGTGACCAGTTAGTTCCAGTCACTTGCAGGTAACGCGGTCACCACAGATCCCAACATCTGACACCCACATGAAACAAGGTGGCAAAGGGCAGAATTACGTAATAAAACAAGCGAATCAGAAACAAGTGCAATTTCTGCCAAGCATCGCGCGGCTCTGCTGGCCAAAAGTTGCCTGGAGAAGAGGCTAGGTTCTGAGGTATGTGATTGGCTCTCCACTACTCACTAGCACGATACTATTTAAAAGATGAGGTTTCTGCATTGTTGCACAAGAACTGGAAGAAAACCAATTATTTTGCGAACTAACCTCAGTTGCATACAGTACTTCCAATATTTTCTTTAAGACTGGATTCTCTTCTCCGCCACCATCTTGACAAATCACTTCGATATCTCGTAACTTGCCAAAATAGAAATCTCTTTCTTTCTCTAAACCATCAACTGTTAGCGAAAGTTCTGCGACCTGAACAACATAAAATATGCTCGATTTTATATATTTTTTATGCAAAACATCTTGGTAAGTGGGAGGCGGGGGGGAGGGGGGGGGGTCGGGAGACATACACAGAGTTCGTACAAAACTTGAAAGTCCTTGGATTTGAAAACAAAAATTCAAGGCCTTGAATGTCCTTGAATTTGTAAAGAAGTACTTGAAAGTCCTTAATTTTTCTTGCTTTAGCTTTTGGATATTTTCTGAATTGTTTGACATTCAAAACGGACATTTTGTTGAAGTGATTTTGCATGTTCATATCTGACAAAGCCATTTGAAACTCATTATTACATTAAAGTTGCGTTTTGAACAATTCAACGTCAGATTTTACTGATTTCTAACCCCTTTTCTTCAGTATTTAGTCCTACAATTTGCTGACACATGGCCTTGAAAAGTCCTTGAATTTGACTTTTCCTGACATGTACGAACCCTGATACACATTACTTGTTCACCTAGTGAAATTAGGAGGGGGGGAATACATATTACCTGTTCACCTAGTGAAATTAGGGGGGCGGGGTATACACATTACCTGTTCACCTAGTGAAATTAGGGGGGTGGGGTATACACATTACCTGTTCACCTAGTGAAATTAGGGGGGCGGGGTATACACATTACCTGTTCACCTAGTGAAATTAGGGGGGTGGGGTATACACATTACCTGTTCACCTAGTGAAATTAGGGGGGCGGGGTATACACATTACCTGTTCACCTGGTGAAATTAGGGGGGTGGGGTATACACATTACCTGTTCACCTAGTGAAATTAGGGGGGGGGGATACACATTACCTGTTCACCTATGAAATTAGGGGAGGGACATACACATTACCTGTTCACTGAGTTCTTTAATTTCTTGTGTTGCTGCAGCATTAGTAGTGCTGGTCTTTTGTGTGGTGGTAGTTCTAGTCGAGCTAACGTTTGAGACACGCGATGCACCAGCAACTGCAACAACAAACACAACAAAAAGTTTACAATCAACAACAAGAGGAAGCGGGAAGGAATGTTCTTGGAGTTAAACCTTGATTGGAGCTTGCTATGTTGTTTAATTCCTCGTATAATGATGTACGAAAGCTAATTAAAACTAAATTTATACAATTTATAAACTGTTACCAGGTTTTCGACTTCCAACACTTGGAACATTTCCTAAAACAATCACAGATTATCCAACAATGAATATTATAACAAATAAAGATTATGACTATTGCAGAAAGGGCACAGTTAAACATATGGACACCTCTCCAATTAGGGAGGTTCCAGAAAATTTTTTCTGAGGATATGAAACGGAACCACTGGATATATATTTTTAGTATGCCCAAGGCTTGAAATAACGTTCCCAAAGTTGCCAATCAGGGTGATCAGCAGTCATGACCTTCCCTGCATTCTTCAATTGAAAACTGCTTGCTTTTCCACTGATTGTATAGAACTTCTTGCTGATCATCGATGCTGATCAGCTGTAATTCCAAGCCCTGTACATCTTACCAGAGTTGATAGTTTTGAGTGCTAGGCATTGTTACCTGGTTTCCGACTTGAGATATTACTTGGTTTCCCCCCAGCGTTAACAACCACGCCTCCTCTAGCCCCGACAGGATCGTACTCAATGCCCAAGTCATAGTTAGCGTCGAAGAATTTCTTGAACCATTGAGCAAACTCAAAATTGTCTTGGAACTTCCCTTTTACAAGTTTATCAACAGGAATTGTCTGAAAACAATAATTGGGTTAATTTTTCTCTGCAAGACTATGGCTGTCGTGAAATTCAACAAATGTTTTACAATAATTTGGTGTAAGATAGAGTACAAAAACTAGCTGTTTGTAAAAATTGTAATAAAGTACCTTATCAACTGATGCTTTTTTAAACGCTGTTTGAAGTAATTTCCAATTTTGAATATATTCATGTTCCAAGTTTGTGTTGAATTTCACCCTTTTTAACGGCATGCAATCTAAATAAAATATTTTTTTTTAGCTTTTTATCCTTTCAAAATGTGTATTTTTTAGAATGGTAACCATTGCCACTGAACACTTAATTTTACTGGCATTCGACTTAGTAAAACAACACACGTAAAAATCCCACAACTTGTCAACAAAATGTGTTCGCGACAGTCATGTAGCAATCTAGTCAACAAGTCATAACAACGCTGTTATTTCATCAAGTTGCTACAAGGTTGTCATTCACAACTTGTTGACAAATTGTTGAATTGTGCACAGGACGATAACAAGTTGTTGGAACAACTTGTAACAAGTATGTTGAACTCAACAACCTTGTAGCATGTTGTCAACAAGCCGTTGACAACAAGCTGGGAACAAGCAGTGCGAACACATCCTGTTGACAAGTTGTTGGAACAGCATTGCTACAAGTCTGCTGCAGGTTTGTTACAACTTGTGTGTTTTTTTACTTTTAGTTTATTTTTGTAGCAGAAACAGGACAAAGCAGAAACAGGACTGGAGATATTTTCAAGAAGTTGCAGATTAAAATATGTAAAGAAAATTTAAGCACAGAGATTTAGGATTGAAAAGCATTATTGTGGTTGCATTTTCTAACATGTAATGTAGGTCACATTTAATGGGCAAATAGTGGTTTAATGAGTTAGAGTTTTTATTAGCATAATAGGAACTGCACACAATCTGGGCATGACTTATGACCTCAAGGTGTTGGATATAGAGAGTGACAAGCTGACAAAACTATGGATATGGGCCTCATAATCAATAAAAAGAAACTTTAACTTATCAATACTAATGTTTAATCTGCAGGCTTTTAGCCAGGGTCCTAAAAGAGGACATCCAATTTTGGTATATCAATACATCCATAGTGGGGGGGGGGGGTTCGAGAAAATGTTCCTCTGGAAAACCTTTGAAGTTTACGTTACTTCATGTCAGTATCTGTTCCAAGCTCATTCGGAATTTTTATTTACTACTTATTTACTTATTTACTTTTTCACACTTGGCTTTGTGAGTTTGTGCCGCTATGCTTCTTTACTTAACTACGACATTTTCATAGGTACACCATCAAATTGATCAAAATGTCAAATATATAATAATAATCAGAATTGAAGCTATTTCGGTAAAGATATATTAATATACTTAGGGAAATAATTGAAAATAATTTCCCTTTACTCCCAGAATTTGGGCGTCCATTTTTCATTCTAGGGGTGTCCCAGGACGCCCTTCTGGCTAAAAGCCTGGCCGGTTGTTCGAAAGCCGATTAACTTAACCCTAGGTTTTAAAACTTAAAATTCAAAGCGAACTTCCGAACAGCTTGTCTATAAATTTGGAAATATTTCTTCAGAAATCTTGTCTGGATCAGTAGGAGATTACTTCTCTGAAGTTTTGAAATAAACAGACGTGCAGAAATACATAAACTATAAAACAGCGGGTTAAATTTTAACCCAGGGGTTAGCGCTAACCCACCTTTGAAGAACCGGCCCCTGGGGAGTATGGTGACGACAAGTTATTCACAAAGTTTTACGCTTTACAGCATGAATAATTATCCTATCAATAAATGAATGAATATATTCTTATTATATCACAATATCAAAACGTCACCAACAAGTATTCAGCCCTACAAAGCAGTCAAGCACAAGGGTCACCCCCAGTGGCTCTTCACACTTGTTCTCAATACTTAAACAACTGTGTATATTAATAACTGTATACTGTAATAGATACTTAGCATCCTGTTAGCATCCTGTGGTTATATTCAGTAAATATTAACTTTTGTAATAATACAAAAATTAAGACAATTTTTGCTTCTCAAAATGTCAGAAAATATACCCAAAACATACTCGCAAATAACATGTCCATGAACTGACAATATGCTGCCCCTATCAAAAGAAACAGAATGTAAGTTTATATCAAGTTACGTAAAAGTTAACTAAACTACATATTTTCGGTTTATATACAAAATCTAAAGTAAAATTTCTCTGACAATTTTAACAGACAAATTTTGGCGCATACCTGTACATAACTGCTCTATTTTCGTATAGTTTACTTGTAGTTGAGTATTTACCCAACCCAGCATATCATGTCGACTTAAATTATCAGAAGTACACGAAGTTAAATGGACGTTAACAGCCATAGTTTTGTTCAAAAACTTTCCTGTTTGAACCTTGGCCGGCCAAAATGGACGGAGGAAATGTGAGGGATGTAAATGTCATAATTACGCAAATTTATGCTAAATTTGATAATTTATGCAATGTGATTTCCGGAAAGGATGGCGCTCCCGAATCTATGGATATGACTCTTTCTTTTTTAAATGGGGCCCCCACCCCACCCCCGGGGCCTTATTTATTTTAGGCACGTTTACTATGTAAGAGGGTCTTATGGCCAAAAATGGCGAAATTGTTCACTTTCAAATGGGGAGGGAAAAGGGATACAATAGAGATTTATGAAAAGTTTCTTTCTCTGAAAAAAGACGCTTATCGGAATTCGGAATACACCACCAGTGAATTTTACATGAAGTGGCCTCTGTGAAGTGGCGCGCAAAGGGAGAAAATCTCAAATTATACATCCAGTGACTGGATTAGAGATCAGTTCTAAATATTTTTCGCGTCGGTCGGGAGACTGAACCCGAGTAAAAAAAGGCGGGAAATGCGTTTCAAAATGGCCGCTTTTTGAAGAAAATTTTTATTGTAATCATTTTTTCTTATTTTTAACGCTTTAATTATTTTACTTGATATCTAAATGTATTTTATGAATAGTTAGATGTGAATATTTAGAGTTATGCATATTTATTTGCTCTTTTTTTACATTTTTATAGGGTCAAAGACTCACAAAGAGACAAAGACAATTGAATAGCTAACTAAAAGAAATACAGATGTAGGAAGTGAACAACGTGTTTTCCCACCGTCTTCTGGCCTTTGGCAATGGCAAAGTCAACTTTATAAATCGTTAAATTTGGTTGAAAAACTTTTTGATAAAATAATAATATTTTTCATTCACCGGAAATGCATCGCTCAAATTTACTTCCGGTAGACTCATATGTCATGGACACGTCGACACATTTTTAGTCTGTTGTTTAATTTTTGCCGCAATATTGAGGTTAAAATTTTGGATTTTTTCTTTTAAATGTAAGTATGATTATTGTATTGTTGTATTTATCATAGTATAGTGTGTAGTTTACCGTATAGTGTATAGATATAAATCAAGATTATATAATTATATATATACATCACTTGTATCAATTTCACGCTGTTTTCGGTATATAAATAGTGTTTTGACTCGGTCTGCCAAGCATACAGAACAAAAAGATCTTTGATCTTAATCGTCTAGAACGTGGCTTGTTTATATTTTGTTTCAAGCAACCATTCAATTTGCATCTTTTTCATTAAATGGCCGTAGAGCTACTAGTAACTAGTATATAAATTTTTGGAAATATTGAATCTTCAAAATAAATGTATATTATGATTGGTAAGTGCTTCATATTGGCCAAATTTTCGCTAGAAATGGATCATATCAAGACATAGCAACCATTGATATCCACCTTATGGTATATTCCAGACTGTCCATCTTACGACTGTCGACCTACTATCCAGACAAACTCCTAGCCCAGAAATACCTATGTATTATTATAAAAAGTTAACAAGCTTTCGTTGGTAGGGTTTATTGTATAGTTAATTAAGTCCATTATTAACCCATTAAGTGGCAGGACAGGACTCTTGACCCTTGATGAGTCAAATCGTCTGGTGGCATATTTTGGATGTGTCACTATATTGACTAATCTATATTATTTAGATTTATCAAGATGTCAAATAATCTCATTCTAATTACGGGAGGAGCAGGCTATATTGGCAGTCACACTGTCGTTGAAGTTGTAAATGCTGGTTATAATGTAGTGATAATTGATAATTTATGTAACTCATCTGAAGGTAACAATATAGTACTTCATTTATTCAATCTTATATACCCATTACTTCATTTGTTATTTAACTCATTAAGCTGCAGCACTTCCCCATTGACGAGTAAAATCGTCTGGCGTTAGGCAAGTAAAAAAATAGGTAGGGCACATTGCGGCTCAATGGGTTAACCCATATCGTAATATTTTTCCCTGTTATTTGATTCCAATATACTCGGTGTTTTTTGCTATAGTTATAATAAATAAATTTCTTTGCTTATAGTTCAATATAGAAGTACATTAGTTTTAATTCTTTTTTGAGATGTAGAAAGCGTCAGAAGAATAAAAAGCATCACAGGAAAAGATGTCATATTTTATAAAGTTGATCTCTTAGACAAGTCAAGTCTAGAAGGTGTTTTTGAAAAGGTATTAATTGACAAGTTAGCGAGATTCTGTGGTATTGGGTAGGCTGTTCTGATCCCCTGATAAGTAAACATGTTGGGTGTTAGACAGATTGAATAAAATAGTAAAGTGGAGTACATTGCTGTATAATGGGTTAATTTTATTAACTGTAAAATTATATGTCTTTTGAATCAATTTTCCAACCATGTTATAATGTTTTTAATATAGCATACATTTTGTGCAGTCATGCATTTTGCTGGCCTCAAAGCTGTTGGTGAATCTGTGTCAATACCTCTGAAGTATTACAATAATAATATTCAAGGAACAATACATTTACTAGAGGTAACATCATTACCTTATACAGTGAATTATACAGGTGGCATGTTTAGTTGAAACAGATTTGATCCAGATAACATTTTAGTACTATGTGTTTTGGGAGATACTGTCACTGTCAGAAAATATATCACTTCAGTCTAAATTATTACACTGTTTTTCCTGGAGATCCAGTAAGGATCATCTCTTATTCATCCAGTGTTACTAACTTACTACAAACTTAAACTAAACTACTGTAACTTTATTTATACTGGATAGCTCTATCAGTTCTAAACTGTTCTCTCTAGAGGTCCAGTAAGGATCTTCTCTTATTCATCCAGTGTTACTACAGGGGGAAACCTAAACTAAACTAACTTCATTTATACTGGATAGCTCTATCAATTCTAAACTGTTCTTCCTAGAGGCCCAGTAAGAATCATCTCGTATTGATCCAGTGTTATACTACAGGAGGAAGCCTAAACTAAACTAACTTTATTTATACTGGATATCTCTATCAGTTGTAAACTGTTCTTCCTAGAGGTCCAGTAAGGATCATCCCTTATTGATCCAGTATAATTACTGCAGGAGGGAACTAAGATTTCAGGAGAATATTTGAAAAAGTCAAACTGTAAGCACTCTTCTCGCATGAGAGAAAGCATACTCAAACAACTGCATACACATGATCTGTGGTGTGAGAGAAATACAACTACCTAAAATATATAACTACCTAACACAAGTACCTGAAAATCTAAGCAGAACTTCACAGAACAACACATGCAGTACCCACTGAGACACTAGTCTCCCTCGCAGAATACCCGCGAACAGGCTGCGAGGGAGACTACTGCGACACCAACACCACAACCCCCTCAGTACCATCTTTGCATTTCCTGACAGTGTATGGAGAAACATGGTGTAAAGAACATAGTGTTCTCATCATCAGCCACGGTGTATGGTGATCCACAGTATCTACCTCTGGACGAGAAACATCCTGTTGGTGGATGTACAAACCCTTATGGAAAGACAAAATATTTTATTGAAGAAATACTCAGGGATGTTGTCATTGCACAGAAGGTAATACAGTCACACATTTCACCCTATGATAAGTTATGTTGTCTAATAAATATAAAGGCCCACTTCCACATTAATGGGGAATCAACTATTTTTTCGAAGGGTTGGAATGTCATCTCATTGCGATATTTTAATCCCATTGGTGCTCATAAATCTGGAAATATCGGTGAAGACCCTCAGGTAAGAAGTAATAGGATGTTTAGTTTGTCTTGTTTTACTATCTTGTGAAAGGAATGAGTAGATATGTACATACGTAAAAAGACATAAATTGACGAAGAAGAATGCAATGTCCTTCATGACGAAGACGCAACATGCGATAGTAAAATAAGCCCCACAAAAACATCATAAGATGCACCTTTACAAGAGAAATTACAATGCATTAATGTTGTATAGAAATTATTCACAACTCAATAATGCCCCATGCAATATGTTATGACAGACGTTTCAACGAGAAACTCAATTTGTATCAGACGAATAAATCAAGATGTTCAGCTGGTACACACGTAAAAACGCACAAGTTGTAACAAACCTGCAGCAGACTTGTAGCAATGCTGTTCCAAGAACTTGTCAACAGGATGTGTTCGCACTGCTTGTTCCAAGCTTGTTTACAAGGTTGTTGAGCTCAACAGACTTGTTATTAAAGTTCTTCCAACAACTTGTTATCGTCCTGCAATTCAATTTTATCGGCCAACGAATCTATTAAGTTCTTTTTGCTGTAACGCTTCAACTTCTGATCCTCCGCCAACAAATTTTTTATTAACCTTGGTGCCAAACTTGATAAAATAACAGCATTGTTACAACTTGTTGACAAGCTAATTGCTGCAAGGTTGTTGAGCTCAACAGACTTGTTGAAACAACTTGCTATCCTGCAATTCAACAATTTGTCAACAAGTTGCGAGTGACAACCTTGTAGCAAGTATATAGTGTGTATATGAACTATTTTAAATGCATGCCTAGGGTATTCCTAACAATCTAATGCCTTACATCACCCAAGTCGCTGTTGGAAGAAGAACACATTTGAATGTTTTTGGAAACGATTATAACACCACTGATGGAACAGGTGAAACAATTATAATATTTGAATCATTATAAAATTACTTCTCAAACGGAACACGCGTAAAAATTTCACATCTTGTAGCAAGTCTGCCAACAAGTTGTGTTCGCACTGCTTGTCCCAAGTTGTCAACAAGTTTGCAACAACTTGTAACAACCTTGTTGATATTATCAGACTTGATACATTGTTGATCCAACAAGTCCGATACAGTATGATAATGACAATATTGTTACAAGCTTGTGTCGTCAACCTTGCAACATTCTTGTTATGTCATGACTATATCAGACTTGTTAGAACAACCTTGTCACCAGGGGTGGAAGAAATATGCGACCACTGCTCGCAAGAAATGTTGAACAGCTGCAGGAAATTCGTTTGAATGAAGATTTGCTATTGAAAATTTGAAGGAAACCTTAACACCCATGTCCGACTATGGGCACAACAACATAAGGTTGACAGACATTATTCCTTGAATTTAAAACCATGGTCAGCTAGAGCACTATATGTTTATGCACGTGCAGATATAGCACAAAAATTCTCCGTTGGTTTGCAGGAAATTTTTGTCTCCAGGTTGTGCTCCTAGGAAGAAAATTATTTTTTCCTGCCCTGCTTGTCACAAGTCTGATAATGCCATCAAGCTCGTTATAACAACTGGGAACAAGCAGTGCGAACACAACTTGTCGACAGCTTGTGAACGGATTTGTAACAACTTGTTTGCACCTGTAGCAACTTGTCCGTTTTTACTTGTGTACTAATATGTATTTTATAATAAAAATGTCCAGGTGTGCGTGATTATATTCATGTCGTTGACTTGGCGTTGGGTCATGTTGCTGCCCTTAAATATATGATGCAAGACAATTGTGGATTTAAGGTATATGATGATTCAGCTTTAATCCAAGATTTGTGCTAATCCATATCAGCGGGCACCGATGAATATTATGATTGCAATCAAATTTAGGTTTACAACCTTGGCACGGGTCGCGGACAGTCCGTTTTGGAAATGGTCAAAGCCGTTGAAAAGTCTTCAGGCAAGAAGGTTTGTACAGTATGCTGTAGATAATATAACCTGACCATGTAGCTCAGTTGGAAGAGCGTCGAGATAGCATTTCGAATGTCGCGGGTTCGAAACCAAACCCCGGCAGCTAGAATTTGCACTTGCGCGGTTTCGACGCATTCATTCGAGAACATTTCTACAAAAATAAATATACGTGGAAGGACATCGCAAGAGTTACACAGTAACTTTGTTTACACTGAATAGCTATGTCAGTTCAAAACAGTGTGCTCTATATGTATACGCAAGAACTCCCTTTTCAAATGACAGAATTCCCTTTTTAAATGGCAAAACTGGGTTTTCAAATGGCAAAACTCGTTTTTCAAATGCCAGAACTCCCTTTTCAAATGGCAAAACTGGGTTTTCAAATGGCGTCGAGATAGCATTTCGAATGTCGCGGGTTCGAAACCAAACCCTGGCAGCTAGAATTTGCACTTGCGCGGTTTCGACGCATTCATTCGAGAACATTTCTAAAAAATAAATATACATACATGGAAGGACATCACAAGAGTTACACAGTATTACAGTAACTTTGTTTACATGCACTGAATAGCTCTGCAGTGGTGGACTTAGGGGGAAGTGCCCCCAGGCTCAGGTCAATAGGTGGGGTAGCAAAAAAATGACATCCTAATTCTAACCAACGTATGTTAAGGAATTCAGTTGCGTATCACTAGTTGACAATAGTGGAATAGCCAATATTAAATATTCTGAATTTTTAAATGTTTTGAGAATCTAAAAATTTTCCAGAATGTTTTCTCGGAATGCTGGAAATGCCATTTCAGAGACCCAAATTTTAAAAATTTTACCACCCTAGAAATCTCGCGCCTTCGGCGCTCGTTTCGCCATTGGTTAGCACCCCCCCCCCCAAAAAAAAACAAACTTTGCTGGATCCACCACTGTAGCTCTGCCAAATTTTTTTCCACTTCCCCCACTATTTCCATCAAAATCCGGCCTTGCTCCTCACTGCTAATGCAATGCATGTTTAATGTTAAGATTGCTTATAAAATAACGGAGCGACGTGCTGGCGACGTAGCCACGTGCTATGCAGACCCTACGTTAGCGGAGAAGGAACTTGGATGGAAAACAGAAAGAAGCTTAGATGAAATGTGTAAGTCTTTGTGAGAACGTATATTTTCTG